CTAGAGGCTCTCATATCTCCAAGAGCCAACTCATCACCTATTGTGTGCCTTTTAAAGAGCAGGATCATGGGTTGGCTCCTCCATCCAATGGCGGCAATGCCTTCTCCAGCGTTTCCCTGTCTCGATGACTCCAGGGTAGAAATACGCTGGGCTCACAATCTGCTTCTTCTTCTTCTGTCAGGTCAACAGCAGGTTTGCGGGTGTTTGGGTCGACTGCAGTCCAGTAGGCAAGCAGCCGCTTGGTGCGGACACATCTCTTATCCTCTCTTTTGAGGGCTCTCTTCTCACCCTTTCTATTTAATTGGCCGGCTTCTACATAAGCTGTAGTGGCTTGATTTCTCGCTGTTACAGTCTCCCTCCACACCTTGCGCCTGTCTTCACCTGCTGGCGGCGACACCGTTGGAAACCATCCACTCTTTTGCCATCTTTTCAAATATCTCTTCATCCTACTCCACTCCCTCTCTCTTTCCTTGGACTCAGTTTGTTCTTCCATGAACTCTCTGGCCCTACCAAGCAATTTCTGAGTTGTAAGCGCAGCCAACATGCAACCTGGAATACTCTAAACAACCACTATGCTGTCCCGTCTGTCCTAGGTGTTACTCTGTCACTAACAGCAAGAAAAAACAAACCAAGTCACTTCTAACAGCTGTCCGAGGAAATGTGAAATCGAACTGTCAACCGGAATCGACACAGTAAAACAAACAACCAAATCTAAAAGAAAGGAGGGCAATTTACAACATCAAATCAGTCCAATAACTACAGTGTAATTTACCAAAACTATCTTGTTAGACCACTAAGTTAAATCAACTTAACAGTACCTCTAACCACAAAATCAAATCAATCACGGAACTGTAAAAATTTGTATAATCAATGATCAATGCCAGAGACTATGGTTACAATTAAAGAGAGGAAAAAGAGAAAGAATGAACTATATTTCAAATCAAAACTCAATCTTAAAAAAGTCAAAAAATTAAAAAAATTAAACTTTAATAAAATTAATCTTGATGTCTAAAAATGAATTATTCCAAATTATTAATCAAAGTTACAACATTAATCAAAGTTGTTGTGGAATATTTCAATAAAAGCTCGGTAGAAGAGAATGATTTGTCTGATAAAACAGAGTCTTGATGAATGATCAAAGTTGCAAAAAGTCCATTTATTGCTTGCAAGCAGGAGGTCAAATACACAGGCACGTATCACAGTGCTCTGTGGAAATGGCGTCTCCGAGCACAAAAGACACTGAGTTTTTATACACATATGAAGGACATTCTCCGTGCCAGCTACGAGAAGCTGCAAAGCAGGTTGAGATAAGAACCCAGGTGAAGCTGAGGGTAGCACACACACACACAAGATCCTCCTAAATGGCCGCTGCAAATCATTGTTACTTGACATGAAAGTAAAACTTGGATCCAGAACTTTCGTGCAGAATAAGATATCAACCAAGGCCATGAAGAGGAGTCCTTTGTTTTGAAGCTTCTATGAGATCGAGTCAACCGTCCTCCCTTCTCAGAGCACAGCTGCAAACCAACATTTTGTATCATACTGCTCTTTGCACATCAGGGTCAAATACAGGACACTTGAGACACGGCTTTAGCAGAAAACAATCTTATAACATATTTTTACCATTACATTCCACTCTTTTGATTATTATTTAATCACACGTAATATTGCAAAAAAATATGTTTAGCAAGCAAGTGTAAACCACTCTTTAGATGGCTGATTACAAAATCACAAAAAGATACTTAGATAATGAAACTGAAGCAAGCAATAATATGAATAAAACCGTAGTGACACAAACGACTTCTGTGTCTATGTGGAGGGGTCCTGGCCGTGTTCTTCTTTTTGTGTTGGTCCGCAGGTACACGTTGGGATGTGGAGTCTGCCAACCTTCTTTCTTGTGAGGCATCCGCGTTGTAGACAGTCAACACAGATCACAATGCACTGTGTGTCTGTCGGTCAACTGCCCGTCCGTGGTCACTGGATCGGTGGTGTCGGTTGATTGACACTTGTTGTGGGGGTAGGGTCGCCTGAGCCCACTGCTGGTACTGGAACCTTCTTGCAATGGGACGCGTGGACCCAAGTTGCCCTCTCATCTACTTTGACAGCTGTTTGGGTGACAAGGAGGATCTGGAATGGTCCCTGCCAGCGTCGTGCTTTCCAGTTTTTTCTTCTGAAGTCTTTCACCATCACAAAGTCACCAGGTTTCAGCTTGTGGAGTGGGCCTTCAGCTGGTTTTGGGAGGGCGGCTGCAACCTGTTGTCGTATGTTAGACAGAGCAGAAGAGAGTTGTGCACAATATGTTAACATTTCATGTTCGCATAATGCGGTTGAAGGGAGTGATGCCGTCGGTGCCTCGGTTCCTACGTGAGGAGGAAAACCAAACAATATCTCGAAGGGACTCAGGTTGCTTCGTGTTCGTTTTCTCATGCGCATGCACATCAACACTAGAGGCAGGGCTTTTGTCCAGGGCAGACCTGTGTCTGCACAGCATTTTGCCAATTTGGTTTTGAGTGTGCCATTTTCTCGTTCCACAGCCCCTCCACTGGCTGGATGGTATGCGCAGTGTGTTTTTAAATCAATACCCAGGTATGCGCTTAATTCTGTAATGGCCTGGTTGACAAAATGAGAACCATTGTCACTTGATATTTTAGAAGGAATGCCCCATCGAGGGATGATTTCAGAAATTAGGGCCTTGGCTACTGTTGCAGCGGTTTGTTTGCTTGATGGAAAAACCTTCACCCACTTGGAAAACATGTCCACCATCACTTGACAGTGTTTCTTACCTTGTGATGGAGACAACTCCACAAAATCCATCATAATGTGCTCAAATGGGCGGGTTGGTGGTGGGTGTGCAGCCTGGCTGGACACGCCCACGGGCCTGCCTACATTGTGAGTAGAACAGGTGACACATGCAGAACAGAATTTTTGTGCATATGCAGTGAACCCTTTTGTAAACCACGTCTCATTAAGTGCACATAACATTCCCCCTTTTGACACATGGTCTAACCCATGAGTCAACTTAGCATAATGAGCAAAATAGTGTTTAGGTAAACACGGCTTGCCGTCAAGTCCAGTCCAGATACCGTTGGTGTAAACACAGCCAGATGTGGACCAAAGCCGTCTTTCATCAGGGGTAGAGAGTGACTGCATCGCTGTGAGAGAGGAGGGAACTGACTCCTCAGAGCACACTAGAGCACAGGTAGTGGGAAGCGGAAGCAGAGCAGCAGCTTTTGCAGCAGAGTCTGCTCGAGCATCATATATACATCATCCATATTGGACGTGTGTGCTGCACATTTACAGACAGCAATACCTGTGGGTAGCAAGATGGATTCCAACAGCTCAGCAATGAGAGTGTGGTGTAGGATGGGCTTACCGTCCGATTTAAGGAAGTTCCTGTGTTTCCACAGCGCCCCAAAATCATGTACTACACCAAACGCATAGCGAGAGTCAGTGTGAACTGTGACTGTTTTACCCGTAGCCAGTTTACAGGCCTCGGTCAGAGCGATGAGCTCGGCTGCCTGGGCTGAGAGGTGACATGGCAGAGGACCTGAACACAGCACACCAGAGTCAGAAACAACAGCAAAACCAACACGATTTTCACCAGACTGAGGATCACGGGAGGCGGATCCATCCACATACATTACCATGTCGCTGTTAGTTAGTGGAGTGTCCACTAGGTCAGGGCGAGGAGTGCACTGAGCTTGGAGCTCAGCCAAACAGTTGTGGTCCTCCCCATCCCCAGGAATAGGAAGTAATGATGCAGGGTTAAGGTTAGTACAACGTTTATAGTGACATTCGGCATGTCCAGGAGACATGTATGGTAACGCAAATAGCAAGCCACAGAGAGGTGAGATGATTTCTGTTCGAGGAGAATCAAAGAAACCGCGTGCGGAACGAGCAGAGTGAGTGGTGCGTAACCCACTATGCCACGTGAGGCAGTGAGCGCCTTTTCAGCCGCGGCCACAGCGCGCAAACATTGTGGCAGTCCTGCAGCGACAGGGTCGAGTTTTGCGGAGAAATACGCAACAGTGTACACAGTGAGTTCTGTGAAACCCTGTAGAGGCGGAGCGCAGAACGAGTGGATCGATTGTCTCCTCCCAGTCAGTGAGAGATTCTCACTGAGCCACAAATGGTCCCAAATCCCTGCATTGGTCAAGGCGTCCTTTAGACAGTGAGACATGAGGATAGGAGCCGGGAACTTGAAACAGTTCTTTCTGTGTGGGAGACAGAGAAACAGAGACAGCAGATTTACAAGTTGACCAGTACAAAGTAGAACAGGCAATTGCATCATTGAGGGCCTCAAAAAATGTCTCTTCAAAAGAGCCGTCTGGACCCTCTGAGACACATGTTGTGCAATGCAGGTGTTCAGGGTTCATACGTCTGCATGAGGAGAAACCCGTGCTTCACCAGCCTGGCTCAGCCTCCGAGCTTCATCGATCGGGATCCACCACTGATACACAAAAAGAGGATTAGAGGGAGCCTTTTGCACCATTTGGAGTGCGGCTCTACGCCGCACCACTTTAAGGCCGTCTGGAGATGACGTCAAACAAATACCACATGAACACATCAAGTCTCTGCCCATCTGATTTATGGGACAGAGTGAAGAGAGTAAAAAAGAAAAAAGTTTTACTTTTATGTCAGGGTTTAGGTCAGTCTCGTCAGAGTGTACACTCGCCATAGGTGCAGTAAATTTTTCTGTCACAGTCAAACCAGAAGCCCCTTGAGAATATACATATCGCCCACTCATTTTTTGATTTGGAAAAGGTTTTTCTTGAATTACTGAATGAGTAGCTCCGGAGTCTACTAAAAACGCCAATTCTTTCCCTTCCACCATTACTCTTGTAGTTGGCATATCCTTGTATGCATCTGATGAAAACATAGCATACGTGAGTGGTGGTGGTGTGGATGTATTCTGTTGCTCTAAGTGAGAAATGATGCTGAGCAAAACAGCATGTTGTTCTGTAGTGTGCGTGCGAGGAAGCAGGTCTTCATTGCAGCATTGTGTGTGCATGTGTATGTGGGTGTGCGTGCGAGGAAGCAGGTCTTCGTTGCAGCATTGTGTTTGTGTGTGGTGTGTTTCACTTCCCTGTTTTGGAGAGGCAGCAGTAGTCATCCCTTCACACGTGCAATCTCCATCCCACACACACCGTCAGTCTGAAGTGCCGAATTGTTGACCCCCTCTGTCAGTCCCGGAGTGGCGCTGTCGTCCATGTGGCTGACGTACCTGGTTTGAACGGTAGGGGCAGTCTTTGTACCAATGTCCTGTTTTGCCACAGAGGAAGCATTCATCGGGTTGCCCTTCTCGTGGGGCCCCTCCTTGAAAACGCCCTCTTCTCCCATGATTTATTCCATACGCTCGTCCTCTCTGTTGGTCCCTCCCATAAGATTTTCCGGATGGGTGGGGGTCTCGTCCTCCTTCTGCACCCAGTGTCAACTGTTTTACAGCTTGGAGCATCGCAAGCGTGACTTTCTCCCCAGTCTGCTTGCTGCGTTTGTCTCGACACATTTGATTTTCCACATGCATTTTATAGTTGTGTCGTGCATGTTTTACCACTTCTGTGAGCCTTGCATCTTCCAGACCCACGACAGAGCGTTCAGTGGCAGTTTTGACGTCTGGCAGAAGCCCGTTCATGAAGGCGTTCTTGAGATGAGTTTCCCACACAGTCATGTTGGTTATGTCTGTGGGCTCCTCGAGGCCGCTGTGAATCTGAAAGGCAGCCACAAGACGCTGATAGTAAGACGTTACATCTTCGGCTTTACCTTGTTTCGTGCTGTTGATGAGTGCCATGTTGACTGGGAAGGCCGCAACCACAGCAGCACAGATGGCTGTTATGTCTTTGCATAACGTCAGGAACTCTTTTCCAAAAGCCACGCCATTTTCTATGGTGGGCAGATGGGAGGCAGGTAGTCCATCCTGTGGCCCTGGAACTTGAAACATGGGGGCTTGAATATAAGACCCATCCAGTTTACTGTCCATGGTGGTGTTAGGACTAAGAAAATCCACAATTCTGCTGGCTGTGCCCCTCCAGGGGGATGGGTCGTGGATTGACCACGCAGAGTCGGGGTGGACTGAGCTGTGGGGTCAGGTCTGAATGGGTTGAGGGTTGAGCATGATTTGACGTCTGCACCTCCCTGGTCTCCCAGCCGGGTTTGACTGCGTGTTACAGGTCTGCCAACCGTAGGATCGGGGTTGTACGGTGGTGGTGATTGTTGGACTGGAGGTGGTGCAGGAATTTGATAACACGTGTTCAGGAGAGGACCGCCTGCCCCTGTCAGGGATGGATACAGTGGAGAAGACACACATGGATTATTCTGTGTTTCAATGTCAGGTTTTTCAGTTTTTAAACACGTCATTTTCTTCATCATTCGTTTTCTCTCCCTGCATTCCCATTCCATTTCCCATTGTGCCAGACATGTCTGTTTTTTCTCTATTATTTCCAAGTCTTTAACTTTGATCTTTTTACCACTTTCCATTTTTTTTTTTTTTAACCTTTCTTCCAACCTTCCAAATCCCCTCTTAACATTTTAAGTTTAGCGGCACTCAACGAGCCGTTTTCTGGAAACCCAAACTCTTTTGTCCAGTATGGGAGACACTCTGTACATGTTTTCCCGTATTTCTGCTGCATCATTGCCACAATCGGACCCGACGTTCCGTGTGTTTTGCGGACTGGCCACCCATCTTTACTGGTGGACCCTACCGGTTTACTTATTACAATACAGTCGTCACCGTAAGGCTTAGTTTCTTTACTCGAGGAAAAACTTTGCAAAAACCCCACTCAAAAACTCACGCTTCAATTTTGCCACGATCTTGTTCTAAAGGTAATTCAATAGAACTCACGTTTGGTTATCAAAAACAGTGATATTGTTTTGAATGTTTTTCAGTGTAAAACTCACGCTTTGATATTGCCACGATCTTATTCTAAGGGTAATTCAGTAGAACTCACGTTTGGTTATCAATAACAGTGATATCGTTTTACCTGCTTCAGCATAAAATTCACGTACGCTATTTCCACGATCTTATTCCATAGGTGGAATTCACGTTTGGTCAATAACAACGGTCTTATTTTACCCGGGTAGTCAAGCGATCTGCGTTACGATCTCGGAGAATTTGTTCCGAGTGAAATCTTTACCGTAAGCAATCCTGTCTTCTACTTGTAGTCTAGCGATGTTACGATCTCGGAGAATTTGTTCCGAGTGAAGTCGAACGATCCTATCTACCTTCGCATAAAATGATGCATTAGAAATATCCCGGAATCATGTACTAAATAATAAAAAAATAAAACAAATAAAAACCCAAAATGTTTAAAAAAAAAATAATGATAATAATTGTATTCCCCAGACTATAACAACCACTTGATCAGTCATCCGTTTCCGTTATGTTCAACTCTTACTGTTACTTTATAATTGGAATTTCAACTTCTTACCCGAGTTAGTAGAAATTAATTCTTTTTCGCTGGATACACGTGACGTCAATCAGGACTCCTCTGGTTTCCGCCGGTCCTTTCTCTCTTGTCTAAGGAGGTATGAGGCAGGATCATCAGCTGGTGATCCTGGAAAGGCCTTTTTCCCCGGACGGTCCCCTGGAGCCTGACGGACGGTCAGCGTATCCTGTTCGTGACGCCAAATTGTTGTGGAATATTTCAATAAAAGCTCGGTAGAAGAGAATGATTTGTCTGATAAAACAGAGTCTTGATGAATGATCAAAGTTGCAAAAAGTCCATTTATTGCTTGCAAGCAGGAGGTCAAATACACAGGCACGTATCACAGTGCTCTGTGGAAATGGCGTCTCCGAGCACAAAAGACACTGAGTTTTTATACACATATGAAGGACATTCTCCGTGCCAGCTACGAGAAGCTGCAAAGCAGGTTGAGATAAGAACCCAGGTGAAGCTGAGGGTAGCACACACACAAGATCCTCCTCAATGGCCGCTGCAAATCATTGTTACTTGACATGAAAGTAAAACTTGGATCCAGAACTTTCGTGCAGAATAAGATATCAACCAAGGCCATGAAGAGGAGTCCTTTGTTTTGAAGCTTCTATGAGATCGAGTCAACCGTCCTCCCTTCTCAGAGCACAGCTGCAAACCAACATTTTGTATCATACTGCTCTTTGCACATCAGGGTCAAATACAGGACACTTGAGACACGGCTTTAGCAGAAAACAATCTTATAACATATTTTTACCATTACAAAGTTATGATGATACAGTCAAACTGCCGGCAATATTAATCAGGAAGTGGAGCAGAAGCACTCCCCCACAAATGCCGCCAGAGATTATACTGCAATACAAACAATTATCCACCCACAACCCAGAGACAATGCAATGACAGTCAATCTGGTTTCAGTTAAACATTAGAGATCGAAATCAAACAATTCATAACAGCTCCACAAAAGCACCACATCAACATTAAGTCAATCTCCAATTTCAATCCAAAACAAATGCAGAACTATAGTACAAACCAAATTCAATGTAATATCACAGCACTTTAATGTTTCAAATAAACGTCAACACCAATCCAGATATCCGTCAAGTTATCTTATCAATCTTTACACTATCCTAGTAAGCAAAGGCAAGTGTGCATCAATGTCAACATCCGAACACAGCAAGTGAAGAAATTGAACTCCCCCCTTGTAATTCCCTTTACATCCACCAGATGGCACACTCAGGGGCTTCCCCTCACGATGTGCACTTACTCCAACCACACGAGGCGCTGTTCAGCCGATAGCTGAAGATCGAACACAGAACTACCAAAGAGGAAGTGCCTCACACCTCAGCACATGGATCGTAAAAGGCCGTGTGCCGGGGTAGCAAAGAACAATGGGATCAAGCTAACTGCTAACCCACGATGTGGTCAAGCTATCAGCACCCCGCAAGCCCCGCTATTTCCCCAGTGGAATTACCAATGAGACCCCGTTAGCTGCTAGCAATGCAGCCTCACGTGGTCCAGGTTGGACTGTTCACCAACACCTTAATATGCTAAGGTTTTATAACCCGACGCCGGAGATGATCAGTCTCCAGTTCGGATTCTATACATCTATATACAATGTTAAGCAATCACATACACACAGTAAGTCATAATCCGGAACATCTATTCATCAATCAAGCACATGCACCACGTTGCTCAAACACTCACACCAGCATGCAAATATATATACACTATCATTTACACTAAAAGCGCTTATCTGCCACCCACCCTCTATTAAATACCCTATCTACCTAATTTTATAGGATTTCTAGAGAGTGGAAAATGTTAAGCAGAATCAAACCAGTCGATGCTGGATTTTCCCGTAACCAGTCGATGCTGGATTTTCCCGTTACCAGTCGATGCTGGATTTTCCCGTTACCAGTCGATGCTGGATTTTCCCGTTACCAGTCGATGCTGGATTTTCCCGTTACCAGTCGATGCTGGATTTTCACGTTACCAGTCGATGCTGGATTTTCCATTAACCAGTCGATGCTGGATTTTCCCGTATCCCAATCCTGTAGAGCAAGCTCCCCCCCCCCCCCCCCCCCCCCCCCCCCCCCCCCCCCCCCCCCCCCCCCCCCCCCCAATCTATTAAAATCCTGCAATACCTAATTGTGAAGGACTTGCACAGAGAGGGGAAATGAAGAGAAGAGTCTTCTCTAAAGACGCCGTAATTATTGTGGGAAACCTAGTGGAGAACATGCGCATCGTCACACCTCATGCGAACCCCCTAACCAATCCCATACGGGTCTACTTGTATGAATTTATCCTGCTGGTCTTTATGTCTCAGCAGACCAGTTCGCCGACTGGATTTTCTAACGCTCAAAGTGTGTACCTGAACGCACCAAACGCACGTGTTTGGAATTTCTAAAAGCCGGCTCCCATTCGCATTCACTTTGCAAAAGTATGCCCCTACTGTTATTCAATATCAGCTCATTATATTCACCCAAGTCATTAATGCACTAGCCTTTAGTCTTTAGCATCTAAGGCCTTGCCTCATGGCCGACTGCCAGCACCACTCTAAATTTTCCTAAATCTACCTATCACAGAATTCATGAAAAAGGTTCTGTTTTACCTTGTTTGTACCCGTGGTACTTGCAGTCAAACCTCTCAGCAACGTCTTCCCCCAATCGAGAGCCCCACGTTGGGCGCCAAATGTTAGAGTTTCGGAAAGCCCTCGAGGGAAGCCTCACTCCTTTGAGTCAGTTTGCTTAAATTAAAAAATACAACCAGTATTTAATAACTAAACAACGTTATAAGGGACACAATTACAAAGTGAAATACTAAGCGAACAGTAAAATATTTCGCGAAATAGAGAATCCTCTGAGCAAGTCTAAAGTGACTTATCAAAGCGGCTGCAGGAAAATTCTAAGTCTTTTCCCCGCTTTGGTCCTTTGAAAACTCTTGAGGTGTGTCTTCCTTGGTGCATTTGAATGCCATTGGCTTCTTCTTCAAAGGGTCACCTCCTGGACTGTCCCCTTCACGTCGAGGTGTGAAGCTGCAGCTGTAACCTGAAACCTCACTGTACTATCTGTCCCTCACATTCCAATACACTCAATGTAGATACAGTTGGCTTTACGCCTCAATGAGTGAATTTAACAAAGCATACATTGTTTAAGTCTTCATCTTATAACTAGGACACTTTAATTACAACAACCCATCATTAATGATAATGATAAGATCTAAGACAGTTCATGTGGTTCAATTCTCAAGACATTTGCCCCAGTTGGCTGCCTTACATTAAGTTGTTCATTTATTACCTGACAGGAGAAAAAACTCCCAAAAAACCCTCTTTGGGGATAAAATTGGGAGAAATCCATAAAGGACGGCAATTGGCATCCGTCCCCAGGTTTTAACATCACATTGTGACAGAATGTTAATGTGTACAGTGTTTATACGATTTAAATGACTATACATTGTGTTTGATTCAAATTGTATTCACTTCATCTAACATGTTAATGTAATAACTAATATCAAACATCACACAAACTATAATTCTAACACTAAACATTATTACACATACTATAATTTCCTGACTGTTGTCTCCGTAAGCTCTTTTAGACTCTGTTAGGCGGCACAATAAATTAAAATATGAACTAGATGACGCCAATGAGGCTAGATACCAAGATTAAAGAAAATTTGGAACTTGTGAGGACAGAGCAACGCGCCGTAGTTGCCAAGAACTGACTAAAATTTTGCGGATAATTAAGTGCAGGGATAAATAGACCTAAAATAATAAGAGATAAGAGATAAGATAAGAAATAGGTCATCATATAACTCGCCTTGCAGGTGAGGACAGAGTC